ACACACACACACACACACACACACACACACACACACACTTTATTTAATGTGTGATGTAATAATCCCGTTGTGTGTGTGTGTGTGTGTGACTGCAGTGCGTCCTCTGCGTGTCCTATGTAGATGAGAGACACGTCCGACTGGTGAAGAGATCTCGGAAGAAAAGTTTACAACACGTCAAACCGACGTCTGTTCGGCGGCACAAGGTGAAGAGGAACCACGTGTTAAATATGCTTTATATATTTAATAAACACCATCAAATCAGCACCGACAGTCTGTCTGATAATCCAAGACTATCGCTTCAAAAACTAAAGAACACTTTCAGGGTCGAAGCGTCAGTTAGTGAGCGAAGAATCTCTGGTGACTTTATCTGGAACCGTGATATGAAGCGTTAATGAATGAATACAAACTCCCATAAAAAGAAAGAACATCAGATTCTCGACTGAATGCGACGCTAAGAACATTAAAACATTGTTGTTGGCAGATTTTGAGCGTCAAACGTTGATTTATTGTCATATTACTGACATACAAATGAATTGACCTCCACTGTATTGTGGTTGAGGAACAATAGATGCTGCATCTGTAAAATAGGACGTTTCTATTGGTAGATATTACTAGAGGTTAGTGAGTGAATAAGTTCTGTAATTTAGGTGAATCGACTCTTTTAACAGGTAAATATAGTAAAAATGAACTCATAGATATCACCATGAAACTTCACCACTTCATTACTGACATTAAGACGATTATTTTGTGTGTTACAAGTTTTCTGAAATGTTATGTTTAAATATGCAAATGAGGCATGATGTAATGGTAACTTTTGGTGAATTTAGGAGAAATCTACAGACGCAAACAGACAAAAAATAAATGTTTTATTTCCACGAGTCGTGTTATGGAAGTAAAATAGACCAAAATCTCAACATGAAACAATGTTTTTGCTGTAAAACATGTGAAACCACAGCCTGAAGCTGATCATCTTGTCCCGACAGGAGGACGGTGGACACCTGAGAGCCGCCGTCTGTCTGCTCCAGCCGGGTATCGCCGTGGACCCCGACGCTCCCGACCATAAACCCGCCTCCGACCCCGAACTCCGCCTCCACCCTCCGGCCTGGTGTAAGTGCGGCCGCTGCGCTCCCTCCTCCCTCCCCCAGGAGGAGCTGTGCTGCCGGTGGGGCGCCGGCGCCTGCGTCGCCTCGTCGCCGACGTTCGAGCGGCTCGTGTTGCGTCGCCCCCTGCTGGAGGCCGTCCTCCTGTACCGGGACCCGCTATCCTCGCCGCCCGTCGGCCAAGGCCGGACCGCCGCCCTGCGTCACTGCGCCTACGCTCAGTACGTCAGCTGGAGGTTCGGGGTCCCGCCCGACGACGCCCAGCCCACCATCCCCAGCTGCTGTGTGCGGAGGGTCCGGGAGGAGTACCCGAGTCCGGACGGACAGTACAGCGGCTTCAGGCCCGCCAGGATGGCGTCCATGCAGGCGTGCGCTAACGGGGAGCTGTGAGAGGAGAGATCACACCTTACTGACCCACTAGCAGGGTTTCTGTGCTCAATCTGCCTTACAAAAATAAAACTATTGCTAATCATTGGCAGCTTGCATTCCGTCAGAGTCAATACATCTCTGCACTTTCTAACATTATCTGTCGTTTTTCTCAGATTCACTCCCTTTAAAGCAGCTTTTTAACCTTTTCTTAGGGCAGAAATATCATGTTTAACATCACTAACATACTCGGACAAAAGATTTCTCCTGCCAGGAATGTGTTCACATCCGGAAAGATGAAGAGTTTTGTTCATGGGAGTGTTGAAGATGGGATTTTAACGCCTGAGAGAGCTCATAACAAAACCTCCCTGATCTCGATTCTTTAATCCGTAACAAACAGAAATGTGAAAACAACAGTTTGTGGCTTTACGGAGAGTTACGAGCTGAAACTATTTCTTGTTTACTAAAAGTCGGGTGAACAGAATTACAGTCGTCACAGAGTCGTTCAGATTATGAGACAATAATGTTCCTCTGAGCACAAAGAAGGAAAGTGACCCACCACCTCTCCTATCAGAGCAAGACACCGACTTTATATACTTAAACCTCTTTTTGTGACTTTGTGTTCATTTCAGTTCTCTTTGTGGTAATTTTGTGTCTCTTTGTGGTAATTTTGTGTCTCTTTGTGGTAATTTTGTGTCTCTTTGTAGTTGTCTTGTCTCTTTGTAGTTGTCTTGTCTCTTTCTCTCTTTGTAGTTGTCTTGTGTCTCTTTGTGGTGATTTCGTGTCTTTGTGGTCATTTTGAGTGTCTTCCTGGAGGGTTTGTGTCTCTTAGATTGTGACATTTTGTAGGTGAGGACTGTTGGGGCCCTTGACGTTTTGGGCCCCGGAGGCCCTCGGCCCCCATAGGTTCATTCAGTAATCCATCCAGGGTCACGGTGAAGTTGCCAGGTTTCGTGCCAAACCCATAAATCTGTTCTTTCCGGCTGATTCTGGTAACCAAGTAATCTTTCCAGCACGTCGTCATACCTTGTTTTAAACAAAACCCCTCTGCTTCCAGTCTTTATGCTAAGCTAACCAGCTGCTGGCTGGAGCTTCATTTTGACTGTACAGATAAGAGAAAGGTATTGATCATCCTCTGATTTCACTCTCAGTAAGAAAGCCAATACTTGCATTTCCCAAAATGTTTCCTTTGATGCTCTGAAATAAGATTGAAACCAATGGAAGAGAGAATAAACCTGTTTTAAACCTGTTGAACTGTCCCTTTAAACCTCTTTGTTTAGTGGGTCTGACTCTGACACCAGTAAAGAAAGGGGCTGAACTGATGGTGTCTGGTGTTGGAGCTCCAGTTTGGTTCATTATTCAGCTTCAGAAACATCGAGCAGCTGCTCTGCTGAGAAAAGAGGAAAATAAGTAGGTATGTCTCCAGACCAAAGATAAGCTTCATTCATCATATCGGGACATGTTTTAGTGTGATAGCAGGAGGAACCACAATAACAAGCTTTTCTGTTCCAGTTCCACACAAAAATATTACAAAATGTGTCAAATCAGTCGTGAGGAATTTATTTATTATTTTTTAAGTACAAAAACACATTTCATATATGTAAACTGTATATAAGTAGTGGACTGTGGACTGCGGTTTTGAAGCCGCGTCACCATCTTGTTTTATTTGCAACCAGTGAACAGGAAGTGACCATATCTGGACTGAGGAGGAGTGACGTAGAGACGCCGTATACGTCTCTGGCAGCGACCTGTCAATCAGCGTGTAGCCCCGCCCTAAAGCATCCCCTGCTTTATGGTCTGTGTGACTCTAAATGGACCATAATGTACTAAATGAACATCATGCTGT